GACCAGTGGATGAAGGTTAGAATATATGCTTAGGTGAAGTGTGTTTCTATGTGTCAAGTTTTAGAATTTTTTTTAAAGCATACCTCTGTACTTACTTATAAAAAACCCCAAATCTATGAATGTACAGAAGCACCTTACCCTATGCCCAAATGATCCCAGCCATCTCAGGAACTTGTAGGGATCAGTAAAAGTTTCACACTACACTTTTTGGGCTGCAAAAAAACTAGACACCCATGAGAGGCAGCAGGGGTATACTTATTTATTTATCAAACAAAAATTACCAAAGTGAAAAAAAACTAAAATGTGACAGGGATGATACGCACATTAATGTGCTTACACAGGCCTCCTTAGGAACCTGTTAAATATAAGATGAGGTCCACAGAAGTTAAGTTGGAATTAAAACTCTGAAAGTTAGTAGTTGAGACAAGTGAATCAGATAAGATATTCCGGACTTTGACAACTGTTACAAAAAAAAAAAAATACTATCAGGTTTAAAGCTGTTTACATTTAAAGCTGTTGTTTGTATGTGTTCTATTACGATTAAAACTAAAAAAAATATATTATTTTGTTAGATTTGTCTATGGTTTGCTGCTGCCTTTTCCTTGACTGGCTATCAGCACAGTCTTTTTAGGGTCTGGCACCCTCAGAAAGTGGGTTTTAAGAAGGCAGCTTAAAAGGGAGAAAAATAATGCTGACCAGGCTAGATGGAAACCTGTAAACAAAAGGCCCTCACCACAGTTCCGTGCCCCCTTGCCTGAGTACGTATGCTTGAATTGAAGACAGGGTTACCTGTCACAAGTAAACTTACACAAGCTCAAGGCTATATGGCAATAGCTAGAGGAAAGGGTGTGTGTTTGTGTATGTGTGCGAGTGAAGATAATCTCACTGGGAAAAGGAGGCATGTGGTGGAAATCATTGTCTGAAGACAAATTGCCAGCCTGAGGAAAAAAGAGGGTGTGTGTTGGAGAGAGACTTTCTCAGCTGGGAAAGTGGCATTTCAGCTGCAGAGGTTTCCTTTCCTGAAATGTGTTAGAGCACTGACTCTGCACAAGTTGGCTGGAAAACTTCTTTTTGGCAATGGGAGAGCTTTCAGGAGAGTCCAGAAGCCGTTACTCACCTGATGCAATGTGGGGAGGCTGATAAAAATTAGTGCAAGCAAAGCAGGGATTACTTCTGAGTTGTTGCACTCTCCTAGGAGCAGCCAAGAACAACTCTCTTAAGTGTTTCTACTGCTGTGCAATTGGAGCAGTAGTGATCCTACGAGGGAGCCCAACTAGGCAATCTCCTTTTTAGCTGCAGGCGTAAAATACTTTTATTAGGAAGTGAGGCAGACCCAGTTAGAATGGGGCTTCTAAGGAAACCAAACACTGTGCCAGATGATAATTTGGGAATAAGGATTCTATGGAATGGAAACACCAATTACTTCAAAGCAGAAAGGCCCAGGTTATTTGTACCAATTAGGATTTTTTTTTTGTCTGTGGACTTTTAATAGTTCAAGAACAATCCCTGTTCATGTTCTCAATTTCTTAAGAGCTGGAATGTACCCAAAATAGAGTAATCCTTGCAACATCCCATTTATTGGTTATTATTTCTAATCAGCCCATTAACAAGGTTCTTTGGACTTCAGAGCTATTAAAAATAAAAACAATAAAAAGTTGACATTATCTACTTGAACACACAGCTGAGCCTGAAAGACAAACCTTGCTCCTCATGAACCAGGAAATCTTTAACTCAGCAACATCATTTCAAACTGCTGTGTGGAAGGACTCAGGTGACATAGCTTTGTGTTAAACATTGCTGAGTTTAGAAGATTCCCACACATGCAGGCAGGGGTTTTTAGTGTAACCATTCTAACCTTGGGCTTTTTACTTGCCAATATTTATTTACAGAGAGGAATATGAGAACCCTGAAGTCCCCTATCTGTAGTATGAAATGAGACAGCCTAAATTGCTTTAAGGAGAACTAGGCCCAAATTTACATACATGCATGCATGCAGGCATACATACATACATACATACATACATACATACATACATATGAAAAGCTGTATATTTCCTTCAAAGTAGACTGAATAATCTTGGCTACTCTCAGGCATTACATTAAGCCGCAGCTTGTTTAAATGGCTTGGTAAATTTATTTAATCAAATTTTGATGATACCCAACTCTGTAATGACTGGGTGGGTTACAAATTAAAAAAATATATATGGAAAAACACACACAACTGACTGGGTGTGTGTCTTAAGTCTTGAAGGTCATCACACATCTCACCAAGCCATCAATGATGGTTTACAAACTACAGCAGCTATGTTTTATGGAACAAACCAAAATCAAGGAAGCCATGTTCTGGCTTAGCAGGATTGATCACAAACAATCCTGTTTCTTTGTTCCATGTGTGTTGCAGAGGGGTTTCAGCAGGTTCTGACCAGTTCTGGAGAACCGGTAGTAAAAATTCTGACTGGCCCCACCCCATCTATTCTCTGCCTCCCAAGTCTCAGCTGATCAGGAGGAAATGGGGATTTTGCAGTAACCTTCCCCTGGATTGGGGAGGGAATGGAGATTTTACAGTATCCTTCCCCTGCCACACCAACCAAGCCACGTCCACCAAGCAGCACCCACAGAACCGGTAGTAAAAAAAATTGAAACCCACCACTGGTGTGTTGCACTGTTGTGGAGGCTCTCTTGACGCAGACTTCACCCTGTGAATACTCCTTCCACTGTGGGTCCGGAGCTATCTCTTCACCTGTCCTACTCAAAGTATTTAAGACGATGCTAAAAGGAGAGAGGGACAGATGGCTAATTCCTGGAGTTTCTTCAATGAAAGGCAAAAATATAATAATATCCAAACATGGCTTTCTTGAAGGACGCAACCTGAGACAATAACTTTGTTTAGTCAAGAATGGGGGCTTAAGGCTTTTTAAATGAATGTCATTCCCACTGGGGCTGCTTTTTTGTCTATTGGAACACACCCCAATGAGATTATTAAGAAATTAAGTATTTTTCTATGTGAGCTGAGTTCATTTACAGCATTAAGCTAAGCCATAGTGTGGTTTGGCTTAGTTTGCATGTGACCCTTGCTTTGCAAGCCATGGTTAATTGCCTCCTTTACCAATCCTGGCTAAACGTTTAGTGTGACCCCCTGCCTTGGCTTCCTATCCCAAAGCTGTATGGCAGTTTCCTTGAGCATTTCCTGACTGTGCAGCCCTTCCAACTCCACCTATCCAGCCTTACTAACTCCTTGGCCTCATCACATGTACCCATCCTGAGAGCTGTGAATGCTTTGCCAAAAGAAGACACACACACACACACACACACACACACACACACACACACACACGCCCAAAAAAAAAGTCTGTACTGTCTGCTGCTACCTCGGTTGCTAAAGGCAAAGCTGGTGTGTATACTGAATCAGATTCAGCCATGAAGGTTATTTAGATGCATCTCAATTTCCTGTTTATTTTGTCAAACATCTGCTGCAAGAAATGTTGTAGGGTTTCTGTCCCTAGAGCAGGTAAGAATTACAGAGCATTCCAACCAAATCCAGGGTTTTGTTTCCCACAGAGACTAGCCAGAAGCTTCTGAATCAGGAGAGGTGAGACTCCTGTGAGAACCTGATTAGCTTTTGATAAGAGCTCACCCAAACCCACAAACTCGTTTTTTTTGTCATAAACGAGCCCTAAAAGCACCCGAAAAAAAAAAGGTATATAGGAGAAAAACAGGTTGGGCAGATAGAGCCAAGTGCGTCGTTTTGAATTCCTGTGCATTGAGCCATGCTGGTTGTGTTGGCAAAATAGGGTTGCCAATCTCCTTTTTGGGAACAGGTTCCTACTTTCCTACAGCAGGCAGGTATAGTGCGGTCCCCTCCAGGCTCGGAATAGCAGTACCATTTTAATGCTGAGGGTGCAAAGAAGTGAGATTTTTTTGTTTGTTTGTTTCGTTAGGAATTTCCCAAGCTCCACAGAGCTCGTAAGTGAGATGGTTAAAAGTTGTATTTTTAAAAGATGGGATGTGGGAGAAAACAAAACCCAAGGAGCTTCTACTACATCCTTGGAAGCTAATAAGGCACATCCTTGGAAACTAATAAGGCGTAGCCCTCTTATCATTTTCCAGCAACTATGATTTACAGGTATACTACATCTGCTCATGGAAGTTCCATTTCTTCGAAATGCTTAAATAATCATTGATAGAACTCTTCTTCCAGAAAAGAAATTTGCTTTTACAACCACTCAGCAGACCTTGCTGCTGGGGATGCCAGAAATCAGTAAACAGACAGTATCACAATTTCTAATCAATTATATTGGATAAACTCAATATTATTAAGAAAACAAAACAAAACACCAAATTATCAGCTTCTCTACACTGCCCCTTGTATTTTCTGACTTCCATTCTTTACAAGCCAAAGTGATCATTCGAATTTTGAGGATCACAGAAATATTATAGTTATTACTACTAATAATATCTAAATTGAGTAGCCTGAATGTGAGTGCAGGAAATAAAACTGTTGTATCTCAAGATGAGGGACCAATATAAATTGGTTTAATAAAATAAATGATAAAATACTAGGAAAGGATTTGGCTGGAACCCCAATGGGGCAGATTACAAGTTTATTACTTTCCAACTTTATGGCTCCTCACTTCCTTTAGGGACTTATTGCCACTTCTTGAGGATCTGGTGAAATTTATGCTCCTTCACATACTTTGTCTCTAAAAGATGGGGACGTTATGAATTGTGGGGCAAGGTTTTGGTGGCACTCCTTGCCTCCATTCGGTTTCAAGAACCAGAGAGATCATAAGATTACTCGGTATACCAAAGGGCAGAGATATAGCAGTTTTATTACCAGCAACAATAATCAAATTACTAGTTACTCATGGCTTACGTGTATACAGACTTTGTTTGAATCCTAAATGTGATTGGAATAATGCTGGAGCAAACTGACTGTAATTTGGCCTTGGGGGCCCGGAAGTGCCATTCAGTTTGCTACCAGCCTTACATGAGATGGAGGTGCAGAGTAAGTGAAGGAACCTCATGGGTAATTGATCTGCTAGATTTGTTATACTTCAAACCAGTTGATTCTTTTTTAAAAAAATGTATTTTTCTTAACCACGGAGGAAAGAATTTGCAGTAAAGCTGCTGCCAGAGGGGTTTCTATAATCTATAAATATATTTTATCTATCTACCTGCCGGTCTCTGCTGCAGTTGCAAGACTCTCAGCAGTTTACAGTAATTTCAAACAGCCCAAGCATTTAAATAAAATGTCCACCGTAGGAATTGAAATATATGCCATTCTAAAACCAGAAACGTCACTGAAACCAGACACCTTGCCGCTTTCTAGCGGCCCTCTGGAATATGTCTGTTTTCAGGAATTTCCGGAAGATCGAGATGAGGCCAATCTTGTTTCTAATGGGAGGCTGTTCCGTGAAATAAAGTGTTGCCACTGAAAAGCACCTCCTCCTCTGGGAAAATAGAAACAGAAAATTGGCCAGAGATGGGCTTGTAGGTATCTTGGTGGCAGGGCCATGTCAGGCTGTACAGAGACAGGAAGGACTTTGATTGTATCCAGAGGCTAAGAGGAAGGCCAGTACAGGGCCTGGAGCACAGGAGTGATATTCTTGGGGTGATGAGTGCTTAGTTGTTGCTGGGCCACTAGATCTAATCCTGTCTGCACCCTATTTCAGGTACCCTATTTCTCCCAAAATAAGACATCCCCTGATAATAAGCCCAATCAGGCTTTTGAGCGCATGGCAATAAGGCCAAGCGCTTATTTCAGGGTTCAAAAAAATATAAGACAGGGTCTTATTTTGGGGGAAACACGGTAGTAGCAACCATTTGTTTAGTGAGTGTTCAAAGTTACAATGACATTAAAAAAATATGCACTTTTTGACCAGTCCTTGCGCTTATGACCATCACAGCATCTCCACAATCACATGTTCAGAATTTGGGTGCTTAAAAAGGTAAAGGTAAAGGTTCCCCTCACACATATGTGCTAGTTGTTCCCGACTCTAGGGGGCGGTGCTCATCTCTGTTTCAAAACCTCTGAGTAAATCTCACCTCTGTATAAATCTGGAGCGGTTTGCAGTCATTCCATCAATGAAGAAAGGAGCTAGCAATCTTTTGGGGCATAAGAGCCTTAGGGAATTTCACAAGATCTTGGACTTACTTAAATATTTTTTTACTTACTTACTTACCTACTTACTTACTTACTTATTTTTAAGGTAGGTTGAAGCTGCTGAATGTGGAGGATCATTGGACTGAGTATGCCATACTGCAGATTCCTGAGTAAGATATATTAGTTGCAGTAAATATAATCAGATCCATTGAAAGAATTAAAGCACCAGAATTGAGGTGCTCTGTGTTTACAAGCGATAGCACGCCAACTCTAGTTTTAATTGTGCAGCTTCTAGCTGCCGTCAGTTATTATTTTAATATTATGCAAACTAACCCGTGCCTTCTCAACATTTTGTCATATTTTAATGGGACCAAGAAAACAAAGTAAAGGCAGAGTTGTGCCGCATGCTGGCTCGGGAATTCTGGGAGTTGAAGTCCATAAATCATAAAGAACAGCTGCCTGCAATTACTGCAGGTTCGAATCTCGCCAAGGCTCAAGGTTGACTCAGCCTTCCATCCTTTCTAAGGTAGGTAAATTGAGGACCCAGTTGTGGGGGCAATAAGCTGACTTTGTATAAATATACAAAAGAATGAAGGCTATTGCTTAGCGCATTGTAAGTCTCCAGAGAAGGGCGGCATATAAATCAAATTAAAAAAATAAATAAAAATAAAAAAATAAAGGGGCCATTGTTCCCCACCTCTGTTTTAGACCACCAATTTAAACACCTAATACTAGAAAACCTATGTGGCCCCCAAGCTCAGATGAATGCTAATATGGATGTGACCAATGGTTGGAGGGTCATCACAAAAACAAGTTCACAGGTCAGCAATCGGGATTTCAGAAAGAAAAGCCAGGATCTTGCTCCCTAATAAACCATAATGGGATCCTCTCTATACTGAGAAGCATTCATTTATCCATGAGTCTCCCTCATAAAAGTCTAAACCTCAGGAATTCCTCTCTTGCCCAGACAGAAGACAAAATGCTAAGGGGATTTGTTTGCTTATTAGATTAACGTAGTAAGATTTCAATCCTGTCTTTTCTTCAGGAGAAAGAAAACTGGCACACATCATGTCTTCTCCTTCCATTTATCCCACAATGTTCCTATAAAATAGTTTCGGCTGCTCCATGGCTGAGGAGAGACTCATATCTGACTCTCAGGTGAAAGTCCAACATCTTAATTTCTGCATCTTATTGGCTCCTTTTTGCCTTTAAAGCAGTGGTGAAATGTAAAATTTGTTACTACCGATTCTGTGGGCATGGCTTGGGGGGGGGGGTGTAATGTGACTGGATGGGCGTGGGCAACTTTTTTTTAACTTTTAAAACCATTTTTTCTACAACCTCTGGCCGAAGAGGTTGTAAAACAAAATGCTTTTAAAAGCCTCTGACGATCCCAGCTGAGTTGCCTGATCATCAGAGGCTTTTTTTTTTTTACTTTTAAAAGCATTTTTTCGGCCAAAGAGGTAGAAAAAATGCTTTTAAAAATTTAAAAAAAAGCCTCTAATGATTGCGCGGCTCAGCAGGGCATGGGGGGGTAGCAGGGATTTTTGCTACCAGTTCTCCGAACCACCCGCCGCCATTGGGACCGGATCGGGCGATCCAGTTCGAACCGGGAGCATTTCACCCGCTTTAAAGTGTACAGGTAGTCCTCGACTTACAACAGTTCATTTAGTGACCGCTCGAAGTTACAACAGCACTGAAAAAAGTGACGACTGTTTTTCACATTTATGACTCTTGCAGCATCCCCATGGTCACATGATCAAAATTCAGATGCTTGGCAACTGACTCACTTTTATGACTGTTGCAGTGCCCTGGAATCATGTGATCCCCTTTTGCGACCTTCTGACAAGCAAAATCAATGGGGGAACCAGATTCACCTAACAACTGTGTTACTAATTTAAGAACTGCAGTGATTCACTTAACAAATGTGGTGAGAAAAAATCGTACAGTGGGGCAAAACTCATAAGAAATGTCTTACTTCACAACATAAATTTTGGGCACAATTGTGGTCATAAGTTGAGGACTACTTGTACTAGTGTCCCTTTGCAAAAGGCTTCCATCTATGAAGCGGAGTGCTGCAGAGTTGTAGTCCTACACATAGCTCCAAGTCTGTCCCATTAAACTGAGGTTTAATTTTGAGTAGAAGAGCATCCCACTGCGTAGTAAAGGTTGTGTGAGCTTGGCAAGCCCACTTGGCAAGCCCACTGCAGGGCAGCCGCGTTGAAGGCTGTTTGTCATTATGACTTTGGCTGCTGTTTAAAGATCCTCTGTGTAGCAAACCCAAACTGTCAAAAGACAGCTTGATTACCTTCCCAAATGATGACGAGAGCTGCAGATAAACTTGGGTAAAACCAAAAAGGCAGACTTCTCCATCGCTTGTTACAACCGCCAGAACTAGGCGAGAACACGATATGAGTGAAATCACTGGAGCCACCCAAAATTGACACCAGCTGAGGTGCTCTGAAGCTTTAACAATATTCATTGGCATTAAACATTAAGGACAGGGCTGCTATGACAACTGCTGGAGTCTTTTTATCACTTACAAATTGGAATGGGCATTTATTTATTTATTTTCATTTTGATTTTGATTTATATGCCGCCCTTCTCCGGAGACTCAGGGCGGCTTACAGTGCGTTAAGCAATAGCCTTCATACTTTTGTATATTTTTACAAAGTCAGCTTATTGCCCCCACAAACTGGGTCCTCAGTTTACCTACCTTAGAAAGGATGGAAGGCTGAGTCGACCTTGAGCCTGGTGAGAATTGAACTCACAGTAATTGCAGGCAGCTGGATGTTAAATGCTGCCTCAGTAGGAGGCATTAGCCTCCTACGCCACTCAGGCTCCAAGATTTAGAAAAAATCTTGTTCTTCACTCTCAATAGATGGCTTATCTATAGTTTATAGCCTATGTATATTGATTGAAAAGTTAGTCCAATTGATTTTAGCAAGGCTTATGGCCAGATGAGTCACTAAAGGACTGCATTTACCATGTTTATAAACAACTATATTTCTCTCTACTGTTTTTCTTGCCTTCGATGCCTCTAAACTACAGAGGAGACATTACCATCCTGAGTGTATCAACCTCTAAGTAAATCTCACCTCTGTATAAATCTGGAGGGGTTTGCAGTCATTCCATCAATGGGGAAAGGAGCTAGCAATCTTTTGGGGCATAAGAGCCTTTGGGACGTTCACAAGATCTTGGACTTATTTACTTAAATATTTATTTACTTACTTACCTACTTACTTACTTACTTACTTATTTTTAAGGTATGTTGAAGCTGCTGAATGTGGAGGACCATGGGACTGAGTATGCCATGCTGCAAATTCCTGAGTAAGATATATTAGTTGCACCAAGGAGCCTTGGTGGCGCAGCAGACTAAACTGTTGTTAAAGTAGCACTTAGCTGCCAGCTGCCTACAATTACTGTGAGTTCAATTCTCACCAGGCTCAAGGTTAACTCAGCCTTCCATCCTTCCGAGGTAGGTAAAATGAGGACCTGGTTTGTGGGGGCAATAAGCTGAGTTTGTATAAAATAGAACACTGCTTAGGGGGGGCCAAAAAGCCCTACTAAGCAGGTATATACAAAAGTATGAAGGCTATTGCTTAATGCATTGTAAGCCGCCCTGAGTCTCCGGAGAAGGGCGGCATATTTGTATTTTGTATTTATTAAATTTTTATACCGCCCTTCTCCCGAAGGACTTAGGGCGATGCACAGCCATATTAAAACAACATATACCCACAAAATTTAAAAAACAGTTTAAAATATATTAAAAATTTGGCCCTTATATTAAAAACTACAAACACCCAAGAAAATTAAAATTCAGTTTCTAGGCCAGCCCAGCCTGTTGGAACAAGAGGGTCTTAAGGGCACGGTGAAAGGTACGTAGGTCGGGGATCATGCAAATCTCCGGGGCAGTTCATTCCAAAGGGCAGGTGCCCCCACAGAGAAAGCTCTCCCCCTGGGTGTCGCCAGTCAACATTGTTTGGCCGACGGCACCCTGAGGAGTCCCTCTCTGTGGGAGCGTATTGGCCAGTGGGAGGCTATCGGCAGAAGGCGGTCTCGTACATACCCAGGTCCTAAGACATGGAGCGCTTTAAAGGTGGTAACCAACACCTTGAATATAAATCGAACCAATATATAAAATAATTATAATAATAAATACAATCCGATCCATTGAAAGGGTTAAAGCACCAGAATTGAGGTGCTCTGTGTTTACAAGCAATAGTACACCAACTCTAGTTTTAATTGTGCAGCTTCTAGCTGCCATCAGTTATTATTTTAATATTAACCCTTGCCTTCCCAACATTTTGTCATATTTTAATGGGACCAAGAAAACAAAGTCAAGGCAGAGTTATGCCGCATGCTGGCTCTGGATTCTGTTAAGTAAGGACTACTGTAGTTGTAATCTTTGGGAGTTGATTTCCAGATCTGCTTTTCCTAGTGGAGCTAACCTAACAGTCTCCAGAATTCCAAGACAAGAGGAGAATTTCTCTGAGGAAGAATTCATAATGCAACCAAGCTCTACAAGCTGCATAAATTTGTATTCCAAACCAGGCAAGAGGCAGATAATTGACAGCATAGTATCACTAAACTTGTCTCAACCTCAGAAGGATCCCGGCAATCATTCTAGATTGAGCAGTGGCCCAGTGGGAGCCTTCAGCATTTTATGCAGCTTTCACTCTTCCTTCCACTCAGATCTTGTTCACCTTCCTATTCTGTAAAATAGAAACTGCCTCATAAGATTACCGTCATTCTAAAACATGCCATGGAAACCATGAGCATTAGAGCGGTATGAGGTATCCAGATGTGATCACACTGACCCGAGGCACTTTTGTTCCAAATTAGAAATAGGACAGGTTTAAGAAATGAAATAATGGAGCTCAGTTTTGCAAGAGACAGTAAAGCGATGCTGTGAAAACCAATAAAATAAAAATCCAATGTTCTCTGGGCTAAAGAAATTGTAATTTTCCTTGCAATTTTGGATGAGAGCTGTGACCTGGCTGATAATTATCATCATAATGCTAGGCATATGGATAGTTCTTCATGTACTACCACTTTTGACTTAATATGCCTTATATTAGAGAACGGCAGGTATTCAACAACTGACTGGGTTGCTCCACCCCTTCTCATTTAAAAGATGTGTGGCAGACCACAATTTAACTGGTATGGTTTCTCTCCCAATGTATTAGAAAATACACCCTGTTGAATTTCTGAGTGGAGAGTAGATGCCACCCATCTAGCTAATCCCTTTACGAGGATTTAAAGCTACTGTATGTCAAGGTGTGCTTTCAGAGAGAACATGTTGAGCAAGACTTCCTTTTAGTTGAAGAGGCCTCCATAAATGCCCCCAGGCCACTTTTATCTTGCTCTTATGCTGAAACTGATCTCCTTCACTTGAATGAATGTGGTGGTGTCAAATATAAGAATAGGGCCTCTCCAGCTTCATGGTTGACTGATGTGCATTCCACCTGAGGAGCCCATTTGCACAGCCGAGTGATCTAAACTTGAAAGCTAATTTCTGTAATTACCAAGTGCAACTGAACTCCAGCAAAACTTTTCATCGCCAGCATGGAATGAAAATTGGGCCTCCATAACCATTTAACACGGGAGTGGGTTAAGGGGGCAAGGAACTAATTGGAAGGTATTTAACTGGGAGATTTCCCTTCTTAATTGTACTATATTTAACCAAGGGGAAATTGGTATCCATAATTAGAAAGTTGAGTGAAGGAAGGAAGCTTTCATAAGACCGATATGTCAAACAACCCTGTTCTGGAAAGCCATCTTTGGGTACAGTATTCAAGGATTATACCCACAAAGAGTGGTTGCAGACACCTCTCTGCTGAAATGCCAAGCCGATTTGCGACAGATAGGAAGAATGGCTTATTTCTGCAAAGTTCACTATCCCATGGAGCACCCCATTTTGAATTCCTGCATTTTTCAGACCTTCCATGTCTGAGAGTAACTAGTGGACGATTGTGTGTGCATCACAAGCTTTCCAACTACGATTAAAGGGATTCTCCTTTCTTGGCCTTTTTTGTTTTTTGTTTTTGATTGCCCAAAAGGATCCTAGAATGAGGGCCTTCTCTTCCCCAACTTGTAAAGATAAGACATTGCCCTATGTCCAGGTCTGTAAACTCCCAAGGATCTACAACAAAGTTCTAGGCATAAAAATATTGTATGATACGATATGTATTATGGGACAGATGCCATGTATGGAGTGCACATATTTATGAACACATCTACTTGGCCCTGTGATTATGAGAATGACCAGGGCCACAAAGTTTTTGAGATGTGGGTATAGCTCTTCATGGATATAATTACTAAAAAGACAGGCTTCACTCCAGAGGAACTTTTGAAAAGTTTTAGTAGGGGCTTCAAAGGAAAATCAGTATGCATTATACTAGTTGACACAAATGGATCTTTCAACACATGCTGACATGCCTATAGATGTGCCCCCCTTCTATCACCAAAAGGTCACTAGCTGACCTTCAAAATCTTAGCCATAAAAATCTGACAGCCAAGAATTCAACACAAAGTGTTCTTAGGTGACCACCTAAGACAGCACGAGTACTTCCTAGCTGCAGAGAAGCTGCTCTTGTTTGCTGCCAGCTCTTAGAGAGCCCCTACCATCCATCCATTATGGAGAAATCTGCTCAGATATGGTAGGTGGGGAGAGGGGGGTTACCCAGAAACATCTGCTCAAGATCTTCAACAGTATTGCATGAAGAACATGGGTTTTCTAGCACAGAGACAACTCCATTATTGGATAGAATGAGGCAGCCACCTTAAACAGTATTCGATAAGAACAAGAAGCCACAGCAAAACGTTGGAGGGTGAAAGCACTATATTGTGATGCTTCTTCACTTCAAGAGAAGGGGAGGATGATGTACACTCTGTCTGTTCTTGCCTCTGATATCATTTCGATTTCCTTCCTGAACAGGAAAGATTGGGATTTCTAAGCAAGCAATGGGTTATGAATATACTGTAGCTGTGTCTGATTTTAGCCTGCCATCTTTCCAGTGGGTTGTTTGCCAATTCAGACATTACTACGACCCTGTTTTCAGACATTAATTCATCCTTGATTTAGTGTGATGTCTGAATGGAACTCTTAGAAACAAAAAAATAAGGATGGTTGGTCAGGAGGCAGCTTTTGTGGATTTAAGACGACAACATTTAATATAGTTAATAGAGTTATGGGAAGAAAAGCTCTTTAAAACCAGTGTAGTTTACGGTGCACTGATACTAATACAAATCTTTTCATTAAACACTACTGAGAACATAAATACCCAAAGAAAATAATTAGCCCAAGGTTAACCTTTCCAAAGTAATCCCTTAAAAAAGAAAACCAAAGTTTTTGTTTGTTTGCTTTTGCTGTTCAGAATTGGAAATGTTTGGAAAACTGCATAAAATAACCCAGAAATGATGAGTAGATTCAAAGTCGCATTCTGTCAACTGTGTGCCAAAAAAGCTTACTGCATCTCATTTGGAGTGGCTGAAACCAGTGTTTCTCAGAACTTGGCAATTATGAGATGTGTAGACATCAACTCTCAGAATTCCCTAACCAATAATTCTAGGAATTGAAATCCACACATCTTAAAAGTTGCCAAGTTTGAGAAACACTGGTTTAATTCAAACTCCTCCAAAGCGATTCTCTCATCTCCCCAACAAAATAGCAAATGTTCACCTGAGCCAATTCCATAGTTTCTCTGTAAATTATAAGAATTAAGTTGATGGCTGACTAAATGAAATAAAAATTGACTGAGTGATATATTTCAGCTCAGAGATGTATCTTTATTGGCAAATACTGAGCAAGTACCTTGGTGCTCCATAATAAAAATTGTATTATGATTTGAAAAATTACCTATTGATCTGTTTAAGTCTGCTTTGAGATAATCTTTATTAAAATTTCAAGAAATAGTCTGGTGCTTTAAATGGGACAATGTCGCCATCTGATTTACTATTCATGTCTGTGGTGAAGCAATCATTGTAAATACTATGTGGTCTATTTGTGAAAATGGGTTGAATAGTTTTTCCTTACTTCATTTGTGGAAAGTCCATGAATGTGGGAATAAATACTTGCTTGTTTCTAAATCTGTTGAGGAAATTATTCAAATACACCTTTTGTTTTGAAAGCTGCATTAATACCATTTTGTAGAAATGTTCTCAGCTGGCTAATGTGGTTATCTGAAAAGAAGATTTGTTTTCCTCAAATATAATCTCATTTTTTTAAAAAATGGAGAATTGTCTTCTGGGGGAAATCCTCTTACATTCAGAACTTCGTGGCCAATAATATGTTGTCCTTTTGAGTAAACACAGTATTCATTATAAATT